GAGGGAGGAAAAAACACAACCTGTGTAGATTCAGGTGACAGAACCCTACAAATAAGTAGATGCAAAATAAATGTGGACTAATTTATAGATATAAATGTGTAGTATTCTTACCGTATTTGACCTCCATAAGTCCTGTTTTATGTTCTTGTCCTAGATCAACTAATTTTATGGTTTAGGAAACAAGTGAATTCCAATGGCAAAAATCCTAAGTAGAAATCTCTCTTTTTTTTTTTTTTGGCTTTCTGAAGTGCACATTTTGGCATTGTTAGTGGAAGCAATCTATCTGATTTCAGTTATGCTTATGGTCACCCATAATACAAATAGATACACTGCTACATGTAAAATAATCTAAGCAAATTTTAATTTGAGTGCTCCTATGTTATGTAGTATTCTGATCAATGTAACTAATTAATAACATAATAGTCCTTATAAAACACTGTGGTACTGTAAATTACAAGTGTAGTACTTATTACCAACCAACACATTGGATATATCTTGCAGTAGTTATTAGTCTAATCCCATTAATTCCAATCTTACTTGGAGTCATAATCAGTTGAAAAGGATGGCACAATATGATAATTACAGATAGTGAAAGTTCTATATGATTTATTAGTTTGAAAAATATATAATATGAATGCATGCCCTAGTGAAAGAAACTTTTTAAACACTTTAGAATCCCTCCTTTACATGATGACCATTGATATTTCTAATAGTCTCTTTTTTTCCTATTAAATCGGTTCTAAATATCTTTAAAATGATATTTTGTTAAGAATTTCTTAAGTAACTATAAATACTTGAATGTTATATTGTAATTCTTTTGAAAATACTCTTTCACTTAGACTTTCACTAAATTATACTCACCTTGCATTTAGTCTGTGATCTACAGTAACTTTTCCATTTCAGTACCTGAGAATTGTTGGAAAAGCACATCCCTCCAATCATAGGTGTTTTAATTAACATCTTTATAAGTCTGTCATCCTAACTGGCGTATAGACTCCAGGATTATATAGGATTTAGTATCTACAATGCCTAGCACATAGTAAATACTCTGTTTCTTGATTTTTTTATGAATGAATGAATGACCAACCAGTTCATCCTTCATTCTTTAAATTCATGCTTACATAAATTATCTTGAGCTTGCAGTTGATTCTAAATAACCTAATTGAAAGTGTAACCCAGCTTTGTTATGTCCCTTTTCTAAGACAGAACCTCACCTATTAGTTTCTCAAAAGAATTAGAGCCATTCAAAACGAAACCAATGAATTTCAAAACACTATCAATATTTGCTAGTATGGATTTATCAGGTATGACCTGAGCTCACTGAATTTTCTGTGCATACAAAAGAACATAAGAGCCCTGGCCAGCGTGGCTCAGCTGGTTGAGTTTTGACCCATGTATCAAAAGGTCACTAGTTGCATTCCAGGTCAGGATACATGCCTGATTTTGGGTTCGATCTCCGGTAGGGAACGTGTAGGAGGCAGCCGATGGATGTTTCTCTCTCTGTATCTCCCTCTCCCTTCCCCTCTTTCTAAAATCAATAAAAACATATTTTAAAAAAACAAGAAAATTATTACTACAAATGTTGAAGGAAAATTCTGGTAAAATAACTTAATGACACTAATTTTAAAAGATAAAATGTGTTGCATTCAATGGTTTTCCTTTGCTTATACTTTGTAGGTAAAAGTAAAAGTAAATCACTGGCTAGATTCTTTGTTCTTATTGTTTGCTTCCAAGATTTTTTTCTTATGGGTTGCCTAGAGACTTGAATGTTATCAAGTTAACCTTTCTGAAAATGATTAATGTGAAAGCTACATTTATTTTGCTTTATATAATTAATCTAGGTGCAATTAAAACCTGAGATACATCTATATGTGTATGTGCATATATTTCTGCATCTGAAAGAATAATAATCTTTTATTTCTAAATCTATAAGCCACAGGTAATTCACTCTATCACATCATTAATACAGTTCATCTCTTAATTTCTCAGTATACTGATATGCAGCCGAGGGTTGAAAGCATTGTTAAAATGTAGATAGAAGTTATCTGCCCAGCTCCCTTTATCCACTCTCTGTTATCTCAAAAGAGCTATTATATTAGTGTAGCAAGATCTGTGCCTTTCAAATACATTCTGACTCTTATGCAGTCCTTTTCTTTGAGTGTTCTTAAATCAATATCATAATTATATTTGCAAGTATTGTATCCAAGATCAAAGTCAGGCTACTCACCAAAACTTGTCCAGGGCAACTACTATGCCTCCTACTCTTTAAATGGTGGGTCCCCATTTAGAGGGCTCTTCATGGTCCTTACGCGGCTCAATAGATTGTCCACTTATTGAATATCGATAGTACATTAGAATGGACCCTCTTTCTTAAACCATTTACTCTCTAACTCTTTCCATATTAGTTGTATTATGTGAAGGTTACACTATTTAGTGTAAAAGTCAACCGAATATTTCGAGTTTAGGTTTATAGCTTCTTTCTTTAAAACTAAGCACTTTTTTCTAATTCTAGATTACATTTTAGGGAAAATGAATAGTATTAAATCTTCAAATTCGGTCTTGTTTTGTTTTTCTTATTCTTTGACCCACTAAATACTTCTACTTTCATTTTTTCTCTGTATATGTTTGAAAATGTTCAGACTACGTATAATAAATAATCATTTCAACTTTTATCCTTTTGATTTGTTTTCGTATTTTAAATACTTTAGCATAGCTGCTTAGGTTTTCTGTATTTTATTTTTACATTTAATATTATATGCATTTAAGGGTTCTAATTATGGTTTAAATCCAGTTATAAGCATAATAGTCTTTCTTTGCATTTTAACTCCTAATATGAAATTCTTATTTGTGGCATAAGTATAGTAGCTTTTTAAATTCTTTTTTTTTTTTTTTTTTAATATATCTTTATTGATTTCAGAAAGAGGAAAGGAGAGGGAGAGAGGGAGATAGAAACATCAATGATGAGAGAGTCATTGATCTGCTGCAGCCCACAACA